CAACCCAACTATTGTGCCCGTCTTTCAAAATCTCCATCGGCATGTTCCGCCGACGGATCACCGAACTACATATGGCCGGATTCTTGTAAAACTAGGGATATGTAGGCAGCTCAGGAACCAGAGCTCGGTCAAAATTCTTCAAATCGTTTCTTTCGATCAAAATTGGACATCATATCATTACCCGACAACTCTTTCATCCTTCTCGGGTAAAGAGGGGCAGCTGTTGATACCCAATTTTTCCCTGTATATTTTACTTTAAAAATAGCATGTATATGCATATATAAGCATAAGCTAAGCTTTTTGGCATTTTTACTAATTTTTAAAGTTTTTAAAATCAATTTATTGTCCATTTTTAACAGTATAAAATCAATAGTTATTCCAAAAATTATCATTTTTGATGAGTAATTTATTTTTATTCTCATATTTATACTAAATATAGTTAAGGTAATTTTTATGTATTTTTACAAATTCATTTGGTATTTTTTAAGCTAAATTGCATATAATTGCAATTATAGCCTAATTTACAATTAACAGCACTTTATAATTATAAAATTACTTTTAGTATTTTTACATTAATATTTATATGTTATTAATTAGCCCAGTACCTTTAATTTATTTTCAAATCATTTGTTTACTATTTTCATAAAATAACAAAAGGGGAAATTGGCTATTTAACAAACAACCCTTATTATTTCAATTATTGCCACATTGGCCACACCACTATCAGATTTTTAAACGGCCCAATACCCTATTTAAACCAACCCAGCCCAATCCCCAAAATTACCCGGTCCATTTTTTTTAATCTGAGCCGTTGATCAAATGAGATCAACGGCCCAGATTTAATCCCAATTAATTAAAATAAATTACCCCCTCCCCCCCCAAACCCCTCATTTCTTTGAGACCGTCTCTCTCTCTATATCGTCTCTCCCTCTCCCTTCTCTCTAGAACCTTCTGGTTCTCTCTTCTCCGATGAACTCCACCGCCTCTCCGGCCGCATCCAATCTCACCCCATTCGACCATCAACCGCCATGAAACCCTAGATCACTGGATCTCTCTATTTTTGAGACCCCAAAACTCCCACCATGTGAATCAGTCCCTAAAAAGTCCCGCCTAGTTTGTTTTCCAGCCATCTCCGGCCACCTCCCTTTCACCAAGGTTCCGATGGGCTTCTCACCATCTTGTTCAACACCTCTAGGACCTTCGAGGTTTATGAACCATGGTGATTTGAGACCTAGGGTTCCTGGCCCTGCTACTCGTGGGTTCTCCGGTGCGATTTCAGGCGAAATCACACCCTATATGTCACGATCTATGAAGTTTCGACAGGTTCTCTCAACTTTTATTAGGGTTTCCCCTTTTGAAACCCTAACTCTCTCCCGAATCTCTCAAAACAGTGCTATTGTCATGCCATTCTCATGTTTTCTTCTGTGTTCTGCTTATTCTTGAGTTTATTCTGAAAGAGCTTCTACTTTGAATCATTTTTTATACTTTCTTTGAAAATTAGGGTTTCCTGGATTTCTTTTACGCATACTCTCAACTGATTTTCTTTATGATTAAATCTTTTCTTCGTTTATTCTGACCTATTTCTATGCTCTTACTGTTTTAATTTGACTCTGCTAAAAACCCTAATTTCTAAAAATGTTTACTCGTTTGATTATGGGTGTTGGCATGACTCTTTGCCTTGACTATGTGTGTTAGACTAATTTTCTTGGCCTTGTCTGTATGTGTTAGCGTGTGCCTTCGTCTGATTATGCGTGTTAACACGATTCTCTTTACTCTGATTCTATGTGTTTAGCATGCTCCTTCGTTTGATTGTGTGTGTTAGCCTGATATCCCTTGACTCTTGTTAATGTTTCATGGTCATCATGCTTCGAATATGTCCTGCTGAATCATAACTTGTTTCTACTAGCTCTGAGTGATTGTGTTTGTTCATCTCTTGTTCCCCTTCTGTCTATATAGCTAATTTTGGCTCGCTACTTTTGTTCATTCACCTCTATTTATATGTTAAAAATGCAGAATCATGACTTTACACGATTGATTCTGATTTTCCTTGATTGATTGGTAATTCAAAAACATTCTTTTAAAACCCTAGCATTCTACTCGCCCGTTTGACTTAATTGATTTTTGTTACCTTGTTTGTTATAGTACTCTGTTCTTTTAAGCCTTTCCTTAATTAGGATTTCCCTGAATTTGGTCTTAATTGGCTACTATGCGCAATACTGAATCTCGATTTTTCCTGTATTTATTCATACATTGATTTTTCCTACTTGCTTTATATGGTGCTGAATATTTTTGTTAGATTTTGATTCCCTTAATTAATGGGAGTACTTCCTTGATTCTTTGATTAATTGATTCTGTATTCTTCAATTAACATATTTCTGTGATTTTTACCTTATTTTACCCCCTACTTTCAACTATAAATACCTTAAGTCTTTTACACAAACGGACAACAGTCCTCTGACTTACACACCACTGAATACATTCAAATCTGCATTCTCTCTTGCTCTCTTGCTCTATTACTATTCTTTGCTCCTATTTATTATTAGCCGGCTGAAAGCCAAGGCTAATATAGTGCTACTCCTTTATCGTTGCATCCTGCTTTTGCTCTTTTACTGGTATGTCCTGATTAATTTTTCAAGTCTCACACCAATGTGTTTATTTTTGTTTCAGTTCATTATCTTTGTAATTTTCTTCTACTTATGCTTCTCTTGCTCAATGTGTGATTGACTATGTGCTTTAACACTTCACCATGTCTTCTGATTTACATGTTAAGTCTGACTTTGTTTACTCCTAATATTATTTGCTATGCCTATGTCCTGTTGTCACACATTAGCATCCCTAACTTTGCTGCTTCCCAGTCCCCTGCATTCCCTGATTCTGTGTAGTCCTGTTCATTAAACCTGCATCCCTTTTAGCATTGTGTGATCTATTTGCTTCCTTTCCCATGATCATTGTATGCAATCTTATGCTACTATTTCTGTTGTTTCTTTCTAAACAAACCCCTTGTTTTCTTAAAACTCTTCTTTTAAATACTTCTTCCTGCACATCACACTATTATTAGAAAATAGGTTCTGCCCACTTCGTGTGAGCATTGCTTTGAGTACCCCTGAGTGCTCACTGAACTTTGACACACAAGGCTGGTATTCCACATTGCACCTGTCCTGCATTCTTCTAAATTGTCTAGGTGCGGGTATTGGCCTGGGACCCAATGGGGTCCTAGGGAGCTTTGCCGCACCTAGACCATGGCAAATGCTGTAAACTCGAAGGGGTTTGAGATTGGAAGATTGGGCCTGATTGAAGGCTCCCTATAGCATAGCTTCTTATTTTTCTGTTCTTTAGTATTGTAATTCAGATGCTACTAGTTTGTAATAATTTGTAAACAAACAATTGGGGGTGAATAGTGAATATGGGGAAGGGCTATGCATGCTTAGTATAAATCATGGGTAGAAAACATGCTTATAGGATTTTTATTTATTTATTTGCACAATAGACAACCTGTATAGGTCATGCATCTCATTCATTAGAGATCCTGCTTTAGGCTCTTTATTTTCAGACTGTCATTACGCTCGTCATGTAACCACGATCAGTTAATAACCAGAAATAATTAACAACAAGCCAAATAACTTGTCATTACTGCATTGGCATATCAGAAATCATGTTCTTAGGAACTCTTATGCGCATTAGATATCCTGCCCATAGGACTTCTTACTTGTTCGAGTTGCAGTGGTTAATTCATGTTAGTCCAATAACCGTGTTAAAATAATTTTTTTTTAAGAAAATCCACTAGGCAGGTGCCTAGGGCTAGTTTTATTAATAATAAAAACCAAAAAAGAACCACATAGGAAGAGTACAATAAGGGGGACAATAGCACCAGTAGTGTTGCCTCTATGCCTTGGCTATATAATCATTCCTCTGCGCCTCACAATGCCCTTATGGCAGCCTCATGTAGAGGAATCATGGTGTAGCTGCCGGCAAAGTCTCACGAGGGCATATAATCTCATAGCCATTTGGATATCTTTCCGAAGGCATAGGGCTAGAGCAATACTAACAGGGCTATACCTTACCTTGCTAATCCTATTGAGGCAAATAAAAAGCCTCACCTACTAGCATGCATGTAAAAAGAAAGAACTAGCTAGCACTAGATATTCTATGATCATCACAGAGTTTATAACATACTGTGTGATGATATTACATAGAACTATACTAATGTGATGGTAGAATAAAAATATGTAGAAGTAACAGTAATGTCCTCTCTTCTCTAATTTTGTGAAGTCTTCAACTTGTAGACACTTGTCTTCTTCATCAACACTTTTCAAGATGTCTTCAAAATTCATGATTTTTTCTTTGAACGATTGGACTTTGTCGATGTAGTTTGAGTGGCCTGTTTTTGTTTTGCAATTCGCATTGGGAGTCTCCTTATGTTTGCATCTTCATTTACCCTGCCGTCCCAACTTTTATCCCTTGTACGCGACTTCTTGCTTTCTCCGCTATGCATTGGTGATAAATCACCTTTCCTTGCTGCCTCTGCCCGGCATCGATTTAGTAGATCTTCTTCCTCACCCTCAACATATGTATCTCTGCCCACAATCACCGGATTTGGCACGTTTTGACCAAAGCCTTGTGTCACCATAGTGTTTCCATCCTTTTTTTTAACCAAAGCTGCCTTGTTTTGTGCTATGTTTTGCAATTTGTTCCTGCTCCTACTCACACGACCAGTGCTAAAAGTAGTAGCATTTAAAGATCGAGGGTCTGAACTTACCATTGCATCTAAAAGTTGTTTCTCTTCTAAAGAAATTACTGGCGTGGCTGTCACAATTTGNGAAAATCTGAAAGAAGACCAAGTGCAGTGGATGTTTGAATGGTTCCCTATTGAAGAGTTCATTGTCCGATCTCGGGATGCACCATTTCTTATTCTCATCGGCCTGAGAGGAACTTATCCTTATGTCCCTCTCCAAGTCATGAGACAGGCAGGAAGGAAGCAGGTTATACCGAGGGTCGACAAAATGGGTCATTTCAGGGCCGACTTTCAGGATAATGATAGCCCTCATAAGTGCCAAGCTCAGCACATGTGGCACTGCAAAATCATATTGGGGAGAGATTCTATTGAGCCGGACAGATATCACGCCGTTTGTTCGCCATACTACTCAGGTTGGCTGGAGGATGATCATGATGGCTTGGGACAACCAGGGTTTGCTCGAGGTCACAGGGTCGTCGATGAGAAGGCTGAGGAGCGGGATAAGTACAACCAATTGCGTAAGAGGATTCGGGAGGACGAGAATGAGCACCGGGAAATTCAAGAAGCCCATCAAAAGTTGATCGGAATTGAAAGATATGGCTGTCAGTGCCAACAAGCGACTAGGGTATTTGGAGCGAGGTTTGGTAGAATTGGAAAGGAAGTTCATCCAAAGGATCGAAAACTGCCAGAATGCCGGGGGAAGCGAAGGGGGACATTTGGCTAGAGCTTACTTGCTGCTGGGATTGCGTGAGCTGGTGAAGCTGTTCAATGGAGCCAAAGATGCCGAGTCTGGGGAAGGTCCTTCTGGGACCAAGTAGATAGGAGTCTTTCTTTTGCTTTAATGTAATAAGGCCCACGGCCATTAGTGACATTTTTATTTTTTCTGCTATTTTAGTGTCGTTTTGGGATTCGTCTTATTTTATCAATAAAATGAGGCATTTAGCATTATAAGTTCTCCAAATCAACTTGTCGCTAGGCCTACCTCGGGCACAACGAGGCACCCAAATTAGGACACGATTTATATTCTTGCACTATGTGTTTAAATATCGCAACGTTTTCTCCTCATAATCTTTACTAACTTGTTACCTTTTTGTTTTACTTTTTGTTTTATTCCCCTTCCCCAAAGGGTTAGTCCGTTGCACTCTGGCATCATCATACTCTACGAGATCCAAGGGCCCTCCACCTCCTCCTCCTCCAGGTCCTATCAGAAACAAGAACAAAGGGAAAATGGAAGACTTGGGTAACATCAGGAAGGAGAATTCGGTTGAAAGGGTAGAGACTTCCCAGGGTATTCAGGTTTCCAAGGAAAGTGCCTCCCAGCTTGAACAATAGTTATTGAAATTTCAGGAAGAACTAGACCAAGTCCGGAATTTGGCCAGCTTGTCATTTTCCCTCACTACCCCAGATGTCAACTTTCCCAACACTCAAAACCCCGCACGCCCACAAAACATCCACAAAATCAACCCGCTCCCCATCACCACTGCAACACATGCCACACTTCAAGTAACATCCCATTACTCATCCCCGAACCACTAAACTCTACAAATGACCATTCTTACCCTCATCACAACAATCCCATTTATGCGGAAACTATGCTGCATCCCACGCAACCCATTTCAAGCACACCTGAGTCTGATGACAAAGACTCTCTTATCAAGAACTTGGCCGCAGAGCTCAAGAAAGTTACTAGCCGAGTCCAGGGTGTTGAAGGAAACAAAGGCATCGAGGGGCTGAATTATGAGGACCTTTGCATCCAGCCAGATGTTGAACTTTCGGAGGGGTACAAACCCCCCAAGTTCGAAATGTTTGATGGCACAAGAGATCCCAGAGTCCATTTGAGGACATACTTCGATAAGTTGGTCGGAGTCGGGAGAGATGAAAAGATCCGCAAGAAGCTCTTTATGAGAAGTTTGAAAGGGGATGCTCTATCTTGTTACATTAGCCAAGACCCCAGAAAGTGGACAAATTGGGTAGGTATGGCGTCCAATTTCATGGACAGATTCAGATTTAATACAGAGAATGCGCCAGATGTATTCTGCATCCAGAATTTAAAGAAGAAACCCACGGAGACATTTCGCGAGTATGCTACTCGTTGGAGATCTCAAGCTGCTAAGGTCAAACCAGCCTTAGAAGAAGAACAGATGAACAGGTTTTTCGTCCGAGCTCAGGACCCACAGTACTATGAGAGGTTGATGTTGATCGAAGGCCAGAAATTTTCCGACATCATCAAGCTAGGGGAAAGGATCGAGGAAGGTATCAAAAGTGGTATGGTCACTAACTTTGAAGCATTACAGGCTACCAACAAGGCTCTACAGTCTGGTGGCACGTCCAAGAAAAGGGATGTGAGTGCCGTGATGGTTCCATAGAGAACAAAATCCCCAATCAAATACCAAACCTACCCAATACCCTCTCTTACATATCAACCTACCCCAAATTACCCCGCACCTTCCTACCAAGCTCCACCACCTTCCTATCAATCACCTCCACCTCCCACATACCAACCCACATCACCCAAATATTCCCAACTCTGTGCCATTTGAAGTTGCTGCGTTACCTCCCAAAACAAGGGTACCCATTCCTGTAGCAATGTCAGCCATAGCACCATTCCATACGAAGGCCATTCCTTGGGATTACACCGCCGAGGCGAGAAGGAAAGGGAAAACCAAATCTGGAGAAGCAATTGCAGCACAGGGTATGACCCGAACTGGCAGGGTTTATACTCCGAAACATTTGGTTGAATCAAGTAAGCAGGCCTCTGGACGATCCACCGAAACTCCTCCTGATGACCTCTGGAGGAAGATACAAGCAAAGGAGTACTTATTCATCGATCAGTTGAACAAGACGCCAGCACAGATCTCCATCCTAGCTCTGCTACAAAGCTCCGATGCACATAAGAACGCCTTGATGAAGATACTGAGTGAGGCATATGTACCCAGCGATATAACTGGAGGAGAAATGGCGAACATGGTGGGGCAAGTATTGGAAAGTCACAAAATTACTTTCCACGAAGATGAGCTGCCACCTGAAGGGTTGAGCCACAACAAGGCGCTGCACATCACTGTGCAATGCGAGGATTATTTCATCACCAGGATTTTGATTGACGGAGGGTCCAGCCTCAACATTTGTCCCTTGGTGACTCTCCAAACATTAGGGAAAAGCCTGCATGAGATCAAAGATGGAGCCATCAACGTCAAAGCTTTCGACGGCTCCCAAAGGTCCACCATTGGGGAAATCAGTTTGTGTCTGCAGATGGGACCAACTTGGTTCGATGTCGACTTTCAAGTGATAGACATCCCAGCGTCCTACAATCTGTTGTTGGGACGGCCCTGGATTCACGCCGCTGGAGCCGTAGCATCAACCCTACACCAAGCGATGAAATTTGAGTGGAATCACCAAGAGGTAATTATTCACGGCGACGGTAGCAATCCCATATACAGTTGCCAAATCATTCCAGCGATCGGAGGAAGGAGAAAAATAGGTGGGGAAACCTACCATCATATTGAGCGAGTCAACACCGTGGACAAAGATAAATGGTGGGATAACAGGATTGAGAGCATACTGAATTGGAGTGGGTATGAACCTGTCAAGGGACTCGGCAGGAACCTCCAGGGAACTACTGAACCTATCAACCTGAAGAAGCATGGTACCACTTTTGGTTTGGGATACGAGTACACTTGGAAGGAATTCAAAGAATGGTCTCCACCCTGGCGCGGTCCTTACTATCCATTGGAGCATCCGATACCCCGTCTAGAGCATACTTTCCGACCAGCCGAAGTCATTTATGGGTCAGAAGAAGAGAAAGCATTAGCAGCAATGAGGAACTTGTTCCCGGAGGATGATAATATGGACTGTTGCGTCGTTTTTGAGGAGGAGGGGGAGGAAGGCCCTTCCATACAAGCCGTGAGCCAAGGAACACGCCTCAACAATTGGTCCATCAGAACTACCAGGGCCCGGAAAGCTTCGGGGTAGCAAGGCTGAATCCATCAAAGGTTAAGTCCATTCAAGAATTGCCACCGCCAAAGAATAAGAAAGAGGTCATGAGTTTCTTGGGGAGACTCAACTACATCAGTCGGTTCATAGCTCAAGCCACTGTCATTTGTGAGCCCATCTTTAAGATGTTGAAGAAAGATGCCACCACTAAATGGACCGATGATTTTCAGAAAGACTTCGACAGAATCAAGGAATACCTATCAACGCCGCCAGTTCTGGTTCTGCCCGAACCAGGCAGACCGCTGTTGCTCTACCTTGCAGTATTGGATAGAGCATTCGGTTGTGTTCTGGGGCAACACGACGAAACAGGGAGAAAGGAGCAAGCCATCTATTACCTCAGCAAGAAGTTCACTCCATACGAGGCCCGTTACTCTCTATTAGAACGTACCTGTTGTGCTTTGACTTGGGTAGCTCAAAAGTTGAGGCATTATTTCTGTGCCTATACCACTTACCTCATATCAAGAATGGATCCGCTGAAATATATCTTTCAGAAGCCCATGCCCAATGGCAAACTAGCCAAGTGGCAAATCCTGTTGAGTGAGTTCGACATCGTTTACGTGACTCAGAAGGCAATCAAAGGACAAGCACTGGCAGATCATCTTGCCGAAAATCCCGTGGACGGAGAATACGAGCCTCTAAAGACGTATTTTCCTGATGAAGAGGTATCTTTCATAGGAGGAGATATTGCAGAATCCTATGATGGTTGGAGGATGTTTTTCGACGGAGCAGCAAATTTCAAAGGAGTGGGCATAGGAGCAGTCCTAGTATCAGAAACCGGCCAGCACTATCCGGTATCCAGCCAAGCTCAGGTTCCCATGCACAAACAATATGGCCGAGTACGAAGCTTGCATCTTGGGGCTCAAAATGGCCGTTGACATGAACATCCAAGAGTTGCTAGTGATTGGAGATTCGGATTTGCTTATACATCAGGTCCGAGAAGAATGGGTGACCAAGAACTCCAAGATACTCCCGTATTTGCATCATGAACAAGAGTTGAGGAAAAGGTTCATAAAGACAGAGTTCCGGCATGTTCCCAGGATCCAGAATGAGTTTGCCGATGCATTGGCCACTCTATCATCCATGATTCAGCATCCAGATAAGAACTTCATATACCCTATTCCAGTAAAGATTCATGATGAGCCAGCTTATTGTGCTCATCTCGAGGAAGAAGCGGACGGAAAACCCTGGTTTCACGACATCAAGGAATTCTTGGCCGAAGGAAAATATCCAGAGCTTGCAAATGCTATTCAGAAGCGCACTCTGCGAAGATTATCCAACAATTTCTTCCATAGCGGAGGAATCCTGTACCGGAGGACTCCTGATTTGGGATTGCTAAGGTGTGTTGACGCAAAGGAAGCATCCAGGTTATTAGAAGAAGTTCATGCAGGGACCTGCGGTCCACATATGAATGGTTTTGACTTAGCAAGGAAAATACTCCGAGCTGGTTATTTTTGGATGACTATGAAAACGGACTGCATCCAGTATGTTCGAAGTGCCACCGCTGTCAGATCCATGCAGACATGATAAA